GTTCTTTTTTCATAGTCACTATAACATTTTTCATACTGTTGAGCATTTTTAACATCATTACTCTGAACTCTGTTTCAGATAAATTTCTTATCTCAGCTTCATTTATCTCTTCTTCTGGAGAATTTGCTAGCTTTTCCATTTGGGGGTTGTTTCTTTGTTTCCTCATTTTGGTTGTCTGTTTGGGTTTGTGACTATGTATCCGGTAGATCCCCTACAACTCTCAGTCTCTAGTGCAGGACAGTGTTAAAGGCTGCTTTTGACTAATTGGATTAGGCAAAGACTCAAAGCCTCCAGAGACCACCTCTGCCTACAGACTGATAGGATTCCAACTTGAATTGTCCCAAGGCAATCATCATCAGGTGTGGAGAGTTGTCATTTTTTTCCAACAGGGTGGGGCAGTTGTTTCTGCCTAGAGGCTAATTGTTACTTTTAAGCTCTTAAGTGGCCTCAGGGCAAGGTTTTTTCCAATAGGGTTGTCCAACTATCTTCCCCCTAGCAAGGCAGATCTCTATATGGGAAAGATGTCCTCCACTGCATGAGGGAATGACTCAACCCAGGAATCTTGGGGTGTCTGCCTTCTGAGCTCTATCCCCCAAGTCCCCAGTCCTGGGTTCTGCTCTCACAGCTCCTGTCCACTTCACCCTTCCTCTGCCAGAGCACAAGGTGGGTGGCTCCACAGGGAATTTTTGTGCTTTGACCCTGTAAGACGGTGCCCGAACTTTCAGTTGCCACTCCATGGCAGACAGTACCCCCTGCTTTTCACAGCTAGATGTTACCTCAGTTTGGTGCTCTCTGCTGGGAAGCCCAGCTTCAGGATTAGATCCCAAAGTTCTCAGTGGCACCCCACTCCCCCCAGGTGAGATATCTCTCCAGGACTTCAGTTGCTGTCTGTGGGTGCCCGGCCAGCCCTTTCCTACTTCTGCCCCTCCTACCAGTCTCTATGCAGTCTCCACCTTCGGCCCTTGATATCAGAGTTCTCTCCTGTGAGTTTTCCATTCATTATTTAGGAAGCCTTTCCGTATTTCAGTTGTAATTCCAGCTTGTTCCTGGGAGCATGTCCATGTAGCATCCTCCTACTCTGCTGCCATTTATTTCTAAAATGTTATTCTTTAAGTTTGGATATTATTGAGCCATTTAAACAGAAGTCAGATAAAAACCTAATAAAAGTGGATTAAAGTTCAAAAACAGATTATGAGTCTGACATTCATGGAAATTAATTTCAGTTATCTTATAAAGTGGGAGGAAAAACACAGTTTCTTTATCAAATAATTGATAAGATTTAGTTTGTTTCTGAGGATAAGTGGTTAGAGTTATTACTCATATGTTTAACAGTAAAATGTCCATATTAAATGTGTACATTTTTTTGTAGCATTTTTCTACCATGTCTGACATTTGGGATTAGAGGATTAAAATATATTAAAGATTTCAAGGCTCTTCATTTATTCCATTTTAGTATTTACTAATTATTTAATCAGAATATTTTCATTACA